TCTTTAAATTGTATGGTTTTACATATCAGAACATAATACAAATCATCTGTTCCTTAGCAGGTCAGAAAATTGGGTAAATACAACCTCACATGAACAACAGCTCATGACATATTACACAGTATCATGATTTAACAAAACTAAAACCAAAATGGAGCAGCCATGAGTGAAAAATTAAGTACACCCTTACTGCTTCCATAGGAATCAAGATGCTAAGTAGACAGGTGCTCCTAATCAAATGTCCTTGATTAACTGATCATCAGCAAGTGTGACCACCTCTATAAAAACTTAAGTTTTAGCAGTTTGTTGGTCTCTGGCATTAAGGATTATGTAAACATAAAGTCAATGAAGAAATGCGCAGCAATGATCTTAGAGCAGCAATTGTTGCTGCCCATCAAACTGGTTATAAGGCCAGTTCCAAACAAGTCCATCATTCTACACTGACAAATATTATTCAAAAAGTGGAAAACATTCAAGACAGTTGCCAATCTTTATAGGAGTGGACATCCAAGTAAATCCCCCCCCCCCATACATAAAAAAACAGGAGTTACATCTCTCTACAGGCCTCAGTTAGCATGTTAGATGTTATAATGTTAGGACAGTAAAGTTAGAAAAAATGTCTGAACAAGCATGGTTTGTTTGGAAGGGTATCTAAGAGAAAGCCTCTTCTCTGAAAAACAACATGGCAGCCCTGCTTACGTTTACAAAGTTACATCTAAACAAACCAGAAGACTTGAACAATATCCTTTGGACAGATAAGACCAAAGTGGAGATGTTTGACCATAATGCACAGTGCCACATATGGCAAAAACTTAACACATAACTTAAAACATATCAGCACAAAGCCCTTATACCAACTGTCATGTATGCTGGTGCAGCGGTAATAAATTGGGTTTGTTTTGCAGTCACAGAACTGTTACCAAATTATTCTAGAGTCAAATGTGAGCCCATCTAACAGGTAATGCTTGGCCAAAATTAGGTCATGGAACAGGACAATGACTGAAGCACACCAGTAAATCTACCACAGAATGACTGAAAATGAAAAGAATCAAGGTCTTGAAATAGCCCAGTCAAAGTCCAGACCTCAACCTGATTTAAATAATGTGGTTAGGTCTGGACTTTGACTGGTATAATAATGTTATAATAATAATAATAATAATAATAATAATAATAACCTTAATAACCTTTGAGAGCTGTGTATAAACAAATGCCAGCAAACTTCATTTAACTAAAGCAACATTGTCAAGATGAGTGGGCCAACACGTCTTTACATCGATGCGAGGGAAAAGATGGTTCTACAAGGTACTGAATCATAAAGTGCACTTTGTTTTTCACACATGGCTTCATTTTGGCTTTATTTTTGTTAAATAAATCATGACAATGTGCAATTTGTCATGTGTTGTTCATCTGAGGTTCTATTTACCTAATTTTAAGACCTGCTAAGAAATAGGTGGTTACGTCCTGATAAGTAAAACCATAGAATTCAAAGAGGGTATACTTTTTTCCCCCATGACTGTAGATGATAGAATATACAGTACAATCCAGTAAAATACTAAAGGGAAAACTGGAAATCATGGTGAATTACTCGAAGTATGTGTATGAGAAAGCCTTGAATTTAATGGTGAAACGTGTATCAGTGGAAGGAAATATATCATGGTTGTGGAAAAAGAATAAAGACACACTTCTACTACCAATCTAAACTATTGACATTCAGTCAGCACCCTATGCATGGGCTAGAATAAATGCTGATAACTCCATTTTGGCAGGGTCAGGTGGGTTGCCTGCTCTTTTGGAATATTTATGAACAGACCTATTATTTCCATACCTTCTCACCTTGTCAGGCCATCTTTATTTAGCAGTTATTAGTTTTGACTCTTTCAGGGGGCTTGGAATGTCAGAATAGATTACAGATGGTTAAGGACCTTTTCTGGGACTCTTGGACAACCGGTACAAGGAGGTGTCTCTCCTGATGTAGTTGGTGTTTGGGGTGGGATCCCCTGTTTCCATTGGCTTAAACTTCCTATTATTATTATTATTATTATTATTATTTATAAAGCGCCAACAAATTCCGCAGTGCTGTACAATGTGTGGACCAACAGACATGTATTTGTAACCATATGAGTACACACATGAATAGAGGGATCGAGGGCCCTGCTCAATGAGCTTACAAAATAGAGGGAGTAGAGTATAGTGACACAAAAGATAAGGGTAGGGTAGAAAAGTAGGTTGGAGATGTCTATGCACTCTCCAAGTACATTGAGGTTGTTTTCACCACTGCGAATGTTCCATTCGGGTTAATTGCTTTTATTAAACATTTGACTTCATAGGCCAGTATCAACTACTACTGGTTATTATCCTTGGCGGACATGGACCCTCCCTTTGGGTGCACACTCAGTTCAACTTTAAGATAAGTCACTGTAGCGGACCGTTTTGCACAAAAGGGGTAAAAACCATTTAGGCGATCGGCCCCCTTTCCAGAGATGCAGGCACAGCTACTGCAGAACACCAAACACATGAACCGCCAATAAGTGAATGCTCCAAACTCCCGAACGGCATCCAATATAGCACTCCAAATACACGAACAGGAACCATACGAATTGCTGCTACCAGACGAATAGGAAAAGCATCCAAGCGGCTTACACTCCTAGCAATCAGTCTCTATCAGCATTCAGTAAATCCCCCCAAAGACGAGACAAGGCTCCGTGTTGAGGGTCAAGCAGTGGTCTGGTTTATTCAGGGCTACCTGCCCAGTATTTATGCAGGTCTCCCACCTGGTGGACACTCCCCTAGGGGACCAAATGGGAGACTGTGACAAGGGACAGACAAGCAGACAAATAGGACACACAGTCACAGTATATTCCCACAATGCATCCTGGCTTCCTCCCCTCTGCCCTGGGAGATAATTGAGAAGTAATTCAATTATCTCCCAAGACAAAGGCAAATCTCCATTATGCACATGGGGATACTAAAACAAGCATTACTGTTAAAATACACCAGGTAAGACACATTACATTAAAACTATATATTTAACATATCCCCAGATAGCTCAGGTCTGAGCGCACATTATTAAGTGAATGGCGCTCAGACACATGAATACAGTTTAATCGCCATGGAGCCAAAGTCTTTACAGTCAGTTTCATACGAATGGGTTCCATGGGATTCCTATCTGGGGTATAACACATTCAAACAAAATTACCGAACACCGGGCCGTTCGTGCACTTCCACCGAACAAGAAGGGAGGTCGGCGGCTTCAGCGGTGTTCGCGCAAAACTGTGTCCAATTTTAGTACCATGAAAATAGAGACGAACACAGCTGTGCATTCGTATGTTTAAAATGACCGTGACCTCGTGTTCAGGATACGAATGGCGTCCACCCAGCATTCGCCAATTAAGCTGCAGTTAACTGCAGCTTCAGGGAGGTTAATTGCCGGCACACTCCAGCTCCCAGGTGGTCTATTCATTCGTGTGGTTTTTCGGTAGATTGAATCTACCGAACAACCGGCAGAAAAGCACAAATACAGCTTTTCTGCAGGCGAAACAAAGTCTTTTAACAGGGGGCCATAGTCCAGAGGCAGCAGGCGAGCAACCAGGCTTCTCCAATGCAATGTGGCGAGATTGGTCTCGTCACAGTCACTAATAAACTTATTTAGGTCAATAATTGTGTTAAGCAGATTAAAGTGTGAGGTGGGCAGGTCTATCTGGAATTTTTACCTTTCTTTTTTCTTTGAATATTGTCTCCCACTCTTCTAATCTGTTCTCTTCATCTGAAAAAGGCTATCCTTTATTTTCTTTGATCTCTGTGTCTCAAAGTTTTTGGGGATGAGATGGACATCTGGGACTCTCGCTCCATTGAACCATTGAAGTCATGACCTCCATATGATGTGTCTGACTTGTTGGTCAATAATGTTTGCTGTCCTATCCTTGATGATGTTATACTAGTAGATGATCCAGAATCAGTGGTCATATCACAGCTTGAAAATAAAACTTTTCTGTCTGCTTTTAATATATGATGTTGGGGGGGCGTGGCTAACCGCCAAGCTTAATGGTCGCACAACCCTGAGCTCTGGCTACCAAGGCCTGCAATCAACGTCCATCTAAACAAATAGGACCTACAACCTGCCCAAACAGAGAGATGGCACAAAAAAACCAAGAAGGGTATCGCTAGAGCAGAGAAAATAATGTTTTTTCGGCAACAAACAGACGGAGACCGTAGAGCCTCAGCGGCCCTCACAAGATGGCGGACCAGCCCTGAACATCCAGCCTTAACACTGGAAGCTGACAGAGCCACTTACAAACAGTGCTCGATCATTTATCGCAGACACTCATCATGCCCTGGCAGCACTCCATGGATGCCCTGAGGAAAGATGTGCAAGAAATCAGCAAAAGAACGTCACAAGTAGAGTCCAAAATGGATGATTTTGCTATAGCAAATAATGACCTGGCAGGTCATGCAGAACAACAAAAATTATCAACGACCGAAACAAAATTAGCGGATCTGGAGGACCGCTCCAGAAGAAATAACTTACGATTGAGGGGGATACCGGAATTGGTCCTGCTAGAAGAACTACAAATGTATGTCAGAGGCCTACTGAAGGTATACGCACCTGACGTACTGGAAGATATGCTACTGCTTGACTGGGTCCACATGATACCCTGGCCGCGACACTTGCCAGACACGGTCCCAAGGGATGTGCTCACAAAGGCTCATTACTTTCATATAAAAAAAATAATTCTACGAGCAAGCAGAAACAGAGCTGCACCACATCAAGACTATCCCACAGTTAAAATATTTGCAGTTCTCTAAGCCACCACCCTGCGGAGAAGAAAAGAACTCTCACATGTTGCAGACAGTCTGAGGGCCAACGGGATAAGATTCAGGTGGGGATTCCCCACTAAAATGTTCATTTCGCAAGAGGGGGCACTCCATGTCATTACCTCCCCAGAAGATGGTACCTGAAAGTTGCAACAATGGGGCATTGTGGAGCACTCTGCAGAAACGGAGAGGAACACATCACCCCCAAACAGGCTGCAGGTGGAATGGAACAAGATAGAAGACATATGGTACCCACAAAATTAAAGCACATAGACCCCAAACAAACAGGTGCATGCTGGAGATGTGGGAATAACATAGGCGACACCCTACAAGCAATCACCACCCTATGGGAGGACACACAAACTCTCATACAGAAAGTAGGGAAGGTTGACATACCGTTAGCACCAGAAATATTCCTCCTACAACACATTCCACCACGTATACCCAAACCCCAGAGATACCTAACCTACCATATAACTATAGTAGTAATTACGGCCATAGCTAAAGCCTGGCTCCAAAAGGACCCACCTTCGATAGAAACATGTATTCCCCAACTAGAAACAATCAAAACATACGAACGCATAGCCAGAGCCCACCGAGCTCCACAAAAATTCTGGGTGGAAGCATGGAGACTCTGGGATGCATACGCTAACTCTCCTAATTAGATACACCAAGTACCAACGAGAAAGCTGATAGGCAAACAACTGAAAGACAGAAGAGAAAATTTACAGAACTAAAACAGATATACAGAAACTCAGAGAAACAAGACATAACCCCCTCATGCAGAGGCCAAGCTCACAGAAGTGGCGTACGGAAAAGCTGATCTAAGCTATACACGAAAGGAGAGGTTAATTATACACAAGGCTCAAACACTACTGCGTGCTAACTGTAACAAAGCTATGATAGAAATTAACATGTGTGTATAGTAATCTCCATCTGTACTGTCATATTGTAACTGCATTGTGATGCATCTTCTGTAATTGTACCTTATAAAATGCAAAAAAAATAAATATATGATTTCGCTGGACTCTTTTTGAAAATGTCTCATTTTTGTTTGTATTGGCTTCTGTCCTCATATCTAGTATACTTTGTCTTGTAACTTCCAGGTACAAACCCAACACCCTTCATAATCTTTTTTGACTTTTGGAAACTTTTGTCCTTTTTGTCCTGCTATTACATCTTCCATTTTTTTCACAATCTCACTTAGTTTACAATCTTTAATCAAAGTTTCCATCAGATGTACAGAACAAGTTGTAAGGTGGGTATTCCATTTTTCATCAAATCCTCTTCATGATCTGCATATGTTGGCAGTTTATAAAGTCCAAAGCCTGTTACATTCCAAGTATTTTTGTAGAACACACATTTACCAGCAGGTTCTAGTTTCCTTTAAAGCACCACTATAGGCACTCAGACCACTTCAGCTTAATGAAGTGGTCTGGGTGCCAGGTACAGCTAGGGTTAACCCTTTTTTCTATAAACATAGCAGTTTCAGAGAAACTGCTATGTTTATCCCCTTAAGGACACAACTTCAAAAATAAAAGGGAATCATGACAGAATATTTCCGTCATGTGTCCTTAAGGGGTTATATTAGGGTTAATCCAGCCTCTAGTGGCTGTCTCATTGAAAATCACAACGAGAAGACGCCAGCGTCCATAGGAAAGCATTGTGAATGCTTTCCTATGAGACTGGCTGAATGCGCGCACATGCGCATTCAGCCGAGGAGGAGGAGAGGAGGCGGAGAGGAGGAGGAGAGCTCCCTGCCCTGCGCTGGAGAAAGAGGTAAGTTTAACCCCTTCCTCACCCTAGAGCCCGGTGGGAGTGGGACTCTGAGGGTGGGGGCACCCTCAGGGCACTATAGTGCCAGGAAAACGAGTATGTAAGGTAAGTTTTCCCATATTTAGTTTGGTAGTGTCAACGCAATGTTGAATACTTTATTTTAGTCTCAAAGTCTTGCCCTGTGATTTAATGTGTGCCTGTGTCTTTACGAAGCTCTCCATTTGTGTGCCTTCCAGCAAATTTTATTAACAATCAAAAAGAAAAAGTAATTGAAGGATTTTCTTGGCAATTAGTATATAAATTGGTCATAAATGGAAATACTTTCTGATGGGGTTAATATATTTGCTTATTTGGACCTGTTAAGAAGAGAAGTATATTATTTCATTAGTGTGGACACTCCATACAGAGAATATATTGATTTCATATTGCAAACACTCAATTCAGCGTTAAAGTACACAGGAACAAGGATAAAAGCATCACAGGTAATTACAAGCAAAGTTACATAATTGCATTCTAAGGAGAAGTCAGTAGACATAAAAGTCAAGGTTCTGTAGCAATTATGATCTATTTGGATTTTAACATTTAAATTGTCTACGGTACAAAGTTTAATCAGCTGTGTTAGATGAAAATTCTTCTTCATGGATTAAAATGTGACATAAAATGCATAGTGTGGTGTACTATAATTTTTCACGCTGGACAGAACAGGTAAGTGGCAGATTTATGCAAACAATAGTTTTAGTTTTTCTGAATCAAATTTCTTTTAATCCACACCTGAATGATTCAATCCTTCCAGGATTAACCAGTGGAGTCCTATTATTTGAAAAAGACTTAACAGGTAAATTATGGACAGATCAATTAATTCAGGTGAGGATTAAAAAGAATTTGATTCGGACGAACCGTTCCAAACAAATTTTTTGCACATTGCACATTTTTTTTTCACAAGTCTTACACTTACCTGTGACTTTTCTCCCATATACACACCTGTATCTCTATTTTGGTGTTACCAGATAGTCTGCACAATATATTTTTACTATTTATTCCAAATTGTACCCTTGGAAATACTGTAATTATTGCAGTTGATAGCGCGCTCTGTTTTTGGTATTATTTTCTATTGTATGTCACTTTGGGGTAGTGTAACTGTACTGCATATATTTTATTATTCTCAAACGCTCTTAAATTTTTTGTTTTTTTTATAAGTATACTACACTGCTCAAACAAATAAAGGGAACACTTAAACAACACAATGTAACTCCAAGTCAATCACACTTCTGTGAAATCAAACTGTCCACTTAGGAAGCAACACTGAGTGACAATCAATTTCACATGCTGTTGTGCAAATGGGATAGACAACAGGTGGAAATTATAGCCAATTAGCAAGACAGCCCTAATAAAGGAGTGGTTCTGCAGGTGGTGACCACAGACCACTTTTCAGTTCCTATGCTTCCTGGCTGATGTTTTGGTCACTTTTGAATGCTGGCGGTGCTTTCACTCTAGTGGTAGCATGAGACGGAATTTACAACCCACACAAGTGGCTCAGGTAGTGCAGCTCACCACGATGGCACATCAATACGAGCTGTGGCAAGGTTTGCTGTGTCTGTCAGCGTAGTGTCCAGAGCATGGAGGTGCTACCAGGAGACAGGCCAGTACATGAGGAGACGTGGAGGAGGCTGTAGGAGGGCAACAACCCAGCAGCAGGACCGCTACCTCCGCCTTTGTGCAAGGAGGAACAGGAAGAGCATTGCCAGAGCCCTGCAAAATGAACTCCAGCAGGCCACAAATTTGCATGTGTCTGCTCAAACGGTCAGAAACAGACTCCATGAGGGTGGTATGAGGGCCCAACATCCACAGGCTTGGGTTGTGCTTACAGCCCAAAACCTTGCAGGACATTTGGCATTTGCCAAAGAACACCAAGATTGGCAAATTTGCAACTGGCGCCCTGTGCTCTTCACAGATGAAAGCAGGTTCACACTGAGCACACGTGACAGTTGTGACAGAGTCTGGAGACCCTGTGGAGAATGTTCTGCTGCCTGCAACATCCTTCAGCATGACCAGTTTGGCAGTGGGTCAGTAATGGTGTGGTGTGGCATTTCTTTGGGGGGCCGCACAGCCCTCCATGTGCTTGCCAGAGGTAGCCTGACTGCCATTAGGTACCAAGATGAGATCCTCAGACCCCTTGTGAGACCATATGCTGGTGCTGTTGGCCCTGGGTTCCTCCTAATGCAAGACAATGATAGACCTCATGTGGCTGGAGTGTGTCAGCAGTTCCTGCAAGATGAAGGCATTGATGCTATGGACTGGCCCACCCGTTCCCCAGACCTGAATCTGATTGAGCACATCTGGGACATCATGTCTCGCTCCATCCACCAACGTCACGTTGCACCACAGACTGTCCAGGAGTTGGCAGATGCTTTAGTCCAGGTCTGGGGGGAGATCCCTCAGGAGATCATCCGCCTATTCATCAGGAGCATGCACAGGCATTGTAGGGAGGTCATACAGGCACGTGGAGGCCACACAGACTACTGAGCCTCATTTTAACTTGTTTTAAGGATATTACATCAAAGTTGGATCAGCCTGTAGTGTGTTTTTCCACTTTAATTTTGAGTGTGACTCCAAATCCAGACCTCCATGGGCTGAAAAATTTGCTTTCCATTTTTTTAATTTTTGTGTGATTTTGTCATCAGCACATTCAATTATGTAAAGAACAAAGTATTTCAGAAGAATATTTCATTCATTTAGATCTAGGATGTGTTATTTTTGTGTTCCCTTTAATTTTTTTGAGCAGTGTAAACAACTGCTACACAAAATGTGGCCTGTGTATGTAGAGGGCTTTAACCCCATAAGGTCAGAGGCAATTGTACAAATTCGGACCAAAACAAATCCTAAAATTTGAGCTATATATGTTCGTTCAACCATAATCTACCTCTTCTATAGTAAATGTACCCACATGTATTATATATAATCTTTTTCAGGAGAAACAAGGCTTACATTTCACATCAAATATTAATTAATGAAAAAAATCTAAAAAAGTGTACTTTTCTGTGTGGCATTTTAACTGTGGATGTCAAACTACTCTCAGCTTTTACTGAAATAAAACAGACACAGGGCCTGCCCATCCTTTGGCCCCAGTGGGGCAACGAATCCAGGTGGCACCGTGACAGGGACGGCATTTTGCTGCCCCTGTACCTTTAAGAAATCTGGAGCGGGGCAGGGCACTATACTGCTATACATATCTGCTGTTCCGGGCCCTTGCTGATGTGTACAGTGGCCCCTGCTGGTGTGTACAGTGAAGAGAGTAATCTTACATCCCCAGCAGTTTTTTAAAAACGTATCACCCCCTCAAATTTACTTATCATTACAAACACACTACAACACCACAAACACACACTTCACTAACACAATCACTGCATACACTGCATCCTACACACACACACACACACACACACACTACATCCACTATATACACACACACTACATCCACTCTATACACTCTACATCCACTATATACAAAATCACACTAGATCCACTATATACACACTACATCCACTATATACACATACTGCATCCATACACACTACATCCACTATATACACACACATGCATCCTCTACACACACACACACACACACATACACACACTGCATCCACACACACTGCATCCACTACACACACACACACTCTGCATCCACACACACTGCATCTACCACACACACACACACACACACTGCATGCACTATATACACACACCTACACTGCATCCACAATATACACACACTGCATTCTCTCTAAACACACACACTCTACATTCACTAGATACACACACACTGCATCCAATTTACATACACTGAACAAAATTATAAACATAACACTTTTGTTTATACCCCATTTTTCAT